ACGAGGTGTGTTCCACCTATGTTACGAGGTGTGTTTCACCTATGTTACGAGGTGTGTTTCACCTATGTTACGAGGTGTGTTTCACCTATGTTACGAGGTGTGTTCCACGTATATAACGAGGTGTGTTCCACCTATGTTACGAGGTGTGTTCCACATATATAACGAGGTCTGTTCCACGTATATAACGAGGTGTGTTCCACTATGTTATGAGGTGTGTTCCATGTATATAACGAGGTGTGTTCCACGTATATAACGAGGTGTGTTCCATGTACATAACGAGGTGTGTTCCACGTACATAACGAGGTGTGTTCCACTATGTTACGAGGTGTGTTCCACATATAACGAGGTGTGTTCCACGTATATAACGAGGTGTGTTCCACGTATATAACGAGGTGTGTTCCACGTACATAACGAGGTTTTGTTTCTTACTTATGGTTCCGGTCCAGAGTCCGGTCCACTTTCCCCGTCACAACATTCCAGATGTACAGAGCTCCGTCAGCTGATCCTCCGGCCACGTAGCTGCCATCAGGACTGAACACAACAAACAAACAATCAAAAACTGAGCTGACTAAAATAAATCCCTCCCACTATCAGGAGGCTTTTAATGTGAAACAGGAAGTGTCACTGACAGGAAGTTAAACAGTGACTGAGTAAAGTCCAAAATACAGGACCAAAATAATAATAATAATAATAATAATAATAATAATAATAATAATAATAACAATATTATTATTATTATTATTATTATGATTAAAATACATTTTATATACACACATATACATATATATATGCGTGTATACACAATGAGTTTACGAACACTCCACAGTGACGATATCTGCAGACTGTAAACTCTCTGACACGCCCCCTAAACGAGGAAACTAATGAGTGCTGAACCCACCTGAAGGTGACTCTGGTCCAGTCGGCTCCACACTTGAAACCCTGAGCACTAAACACACACACACACACACACACACACACACACACACACAGAGTAATAATTTGTTTTCATCATCGACTTTAAATAGAAGAAGAAACAGGAAGTCTTGAGTGTTTTAGATGTCAGCAGGACTCTGATCTGACTCCTCCTCCTGTATAACCGTCTCACTATCGACTCACCTGAAGGTCTGTCTGACGGCGTTGGTGCGCAGGTCGATGATCTTCACCAGGTCATCTCTAGAGCAGGTGAGCAGCTCGGTGCGGTCGTGGTTCAGGTCCAGAGATGTGACTCTGCCCAGCAGCTCCAGTTCCTTCACTATACTCTCCGCTCTGACACACAGACGCCATGACACCATCAGTTCCTACAAAACCTACAGAACTCATTCAGTCCTGAAAACATCAATGCGTGAAATATTAATAAACACAGAGAGGACAGTCAAAACGTCCACGCCTGTCCAACCCCAGCTGTCCTCACTCTCAAACTGAAGACAGGTGGTGTTGGACGTGCTGGTCCACACCTGTCCAACCCCGCCTGTCCCCCTCTCAGACTGAAGACAGGCGGGGTTGGACAGGTGTGGTCCACACCTGTCCAACCCCGCCTGTCCTAAGACTGAGGACAGGTAGTGTTGGACATGGTGGTCCACACCTGTCCAACCCCACCTGTCCTCACTCTCAAACTACGGACAGGTGGTGTTAGACGTGGTGGTCCACACCTGTCCAACCCCGCCTGTCCTAAGACTGAGGACAGGTAGTGTTGGACATGGTGGTCCACACCTGTCCAACCCCACCTGTCCTCACTCTCAAACTAAGGACAGGTGGTGTTAGACGTGGTGGTCCACACCTGTCCAACCCCGCCTGTCCTAAGACTGAGGACAGGTAGTGTTGGACGTGGTGGTCCACAACTGTCCAACCCCGCCTGTCCCCCTCTCAGACTGAGGACCGGTAATAAAAAGTACCTGATGTCCCAGAATCGAACTTTCTTGTCAAAGTGTCCGCTCATGACGCACTGCTCCGTGCACACGATGTCATTACAGCTGGAACCAGCGAACACCGTCTTGGTACCTGCACAGGTGAGACAGCAGGGGATGATGGGATGAGCTGAGCGGACTGAGACTGTTGACCACCTGTCCCTGACAACTGTCCAATCACGTACAGACTTTGTTGCGAAGGTCCCACAGTTTGAGTGTTCGATCGTAGCTCCCGGAGACGATTCGAGTGTTGTCCAATAGGAATCGAGCTGACAGCACCTTCCCGCTGTGACCTGTCAAGGTGTGCTGGAAGGACACACAGATATACAACTGACGTACACCGGACATGTTGTCTATTGGTGTGTTACAGTCTAACACAACTGTTATGATGCCTGTGGATATTCTCATTCATCCAGGTGTTCATTCAACCAGTGACATCACTGGCCTTGTGAAGACCTCCCCAGAGGTTAAATACCTGGGTGCTTCCACACCAGTTTGTCAGACTAGTTCCAGCCTAGTCAGACAAGCATGAACTGATGAAGCCTCTTGGATAAGAGGTGAAACTACTTCTAAGACAAAACCAAGTCCAGTTGCATTCGATTCAATTGCCTTGAGATAACTGTTATCATTAATACTGTAAAGTGCTGTGGTGATTAAGTTTTAATGAACTTATAATAATGTCTTGTGATGTCACATGATGAAGATGTGTCGTGTCTTTATGGTCTCAGCAGAAGAATGAGATCAGCACTCAGGCCCCGCCTCATCAGCCTCACGCTCCATGCTGACTGGTTCTGTTGGATGTGACTCATCATCACACTGAGCCTGTAGGGTCTCTGTACAGACTCAGACTGTGATGTCACTTCCTGTCTGTCAGCAGCCCCTGGGACCATCACTGCATCACTAGAGCATGATGGGAGCACAGAGCAGGGGCTGCTGGGAGCCAAAATGGCCAACAGAGGGGAATCTGAGGTTCAGACCTTTTACATCACATCACTGACCAGAAGACTGATGGTAAGTTATGTTGTCTAACCCTAACCCTAGCTCACATATATACGTATACATAAATATAACTCGTATAAATGAAACACTGCTGATCGACCTGGACACCTGTCAGACAGGTAAAGACTGATCAGTGTCTCATCATGATGTAGTGTGAGGTGAGAGCTGTAAAGACTCACCCTCAGTCTGTAGTCATCCACAGTCCAGATACGACTGGCAAAGTCGTTTGACGCCGCCAGCAGGTACGACCCCTAAAGACACAAAACAAATATATGAACCCAACAGGTACGACCCCTAAAGACACAAAACAAATATATGAACCCAAAAGGTACGACCCCAAAAGACACAAAACAAATATATGAACCCAGCAGGTACGACCCCTAAAGACACAAAACAAATATATGAACCCAGCAGGTACGACCCCTAAAGACACAAAACAAATATATGAACCCAGCAGGTACGACCCCTAAAGACACAAAACAAATATATGAACCCAGCAGGTACGACCCCTAAAGACACAAAACAAATATATGAACCCAATAAAATATTATTAACCCAACAGGTGTGATGTGTTTGATCATTACATGTATTTATAAGTGAGGACAGTTCAGGTATCCTGAGACTTTTACAGTCAAAGATAAACGATACTCCTGTCTGTTACTTTCAGTATTTGAGATTGTACATTTTGTTTTATCAGTTTTCTGACTGAAGTTTTAAGTCTGTGCTTTAATTCAGCTCGTTTGACCAAAAAAACTCTTTATTCAGTATTTTACTTAAAATGATAAAACGACCAAATTTAACTTCTCACAGTATAAATAACCTGTGAATAGTGTTTTTTTTTTTTACAGACTTATTGATGAGGCATGAAAATAAGTAAGTGCAGATTAATGAGTAATAACAGTCAGCTGCAGCTCTGGAGGAAACATAAACCAAACATTCCCACATTTATCATCTGGACACGCATGGTGTTGAATTTTAACTCAGTGAGACTGAAACACAAAGACAGATGTGTGTTAAAGAACCAAACATTCCGTCTTCATGTAAGAATATGTGTTAATAAAAAAACTAATTATCTTTGGACGTCCACGCGTCCATCTGACCGACCAGGAGGTAAAACACTTACAGCGCTGTCGAACTCAATGCTGGTGATTCCAGCGTTACTGCCAGTCAGAGCTCCTTTAGGCTCACAGCGACCTGCACGCACACACACACACACACACACACACGAATAATAATAAATATAAAAGTAACGAGAGTTCAAAGAAGACAGAAGAGACATGAGAACAAAGTTAAGTTCATCCTGAGACAGTTTTAAGATGTGATTTAAAGTCCTGACAGTCAGAAACCAGCAGTAATAAACAGTGTCTGCAGTTAGGATTGGTCGACCCTCACAGCGCCCCCTTCTGTTGGACCATATATTAAAGAAAAATAAATAACTGTGATAAATGACATTTTTGTCATGTTGAGACATCTGAACTTAGAAAACGACTAATTATAAAAACAATAAAAGACATTAATAATAAAGTATTTAAAGGATCAACCGGCTGTCAGACCAACACCAGTCTGAAGCTACTTCCTGTTTCCACCCTCCACTCACCAGCCACCACCTCCCACAGCTTCACCCTGCGGTCCATCCCTCCCGTTGCTAGGAGACGAGAGCCGGGGCTGAACCTCACTGCGTTCACCTCACCGTCGTGAGCTTCCTGAACACACACAGACACAGACACAGACACAGACACACACACAGACACACACAGAGTCAGGGTTTGACGGCGAGTCAATAAAAACATCTGTGTGTCTTTGTCTGGCCTCAGGTTGAAAACTTGAGATCAGCTCCCTCCTCTTCCTCAGCCCAATGCTCTATCCTGATTGGTTCTGTTGGATGACATCACACTGAGTCTGTAGGGTCTCTGTACAGACTCAGGCTGTGATGTCACTTCCTGTCTGTCTGTCAGCAGCTCCTGGAACCATCAGTGCATCACTAGAGCATGATGGGAGCGCAGAGAAGGGGCTGCTGGGAGCCAGAGGGCAGCAGGAGAGGATTGTGGGTAATCAGACCTTTTACTGCTCATCACTGACCAATAAGGTTACATCTGGGAAACATGCAACAACAGACACCCGGGGAAAGAGACGCCCAGGTATCAGACACTCGAACAGAAACGCCTGAATAATACCAGCTGGTAATGTTTCCTGTTTAACCCCACCCCAGGTTACTGATGATGTCACCGATCAGCTGGTCTCCCAGTCCACCAATCACTGAGTCCACTGGTTACTCACAAACACGTGGAGAGCCGTTGAGGGGACTCGAACCTCCGCACACACTCCTGAGGGGGCCTCAGTGTTTTCAGGTGACGTGCTGAAGGAGTTGGCTGTTCGACGCCTGCTGAGGAAGAGGAGCACAGTCACAACGATGGACACGTGGACAGACAGACAGACAGACAGACAGACAGAGACAGAGAGACAGACAGACAGAGACAGAGAGACAGACATCAGGGCTATGAGGTTGCACGCAGCCTGATGTGGAACCAAAGTTCACAAACACGAGTTCCTCTCAGAGTCTTTTAGCTGCACACAGTTAGCAACATGCTAAGGGTTAGCACTACAAGCTGATTGGTCAGTCAGTCACATTACAGTGGAGCAGGAAGACCCGCCTTCTGTTTCCTGTTCAGCTACAGTGTCGGCGTTCTAAATGAAACATGTCCAACATGCTAACACACCTTCTTCTTCATCATCATCATCATCATCATCATCATCATCATCATCATCACTGATGTATCGATCACCAGGACGATAAAGTTTGGGCACTTTGAATGTTTAAATAAAGTCGAGGTGGGAGGAACTGTGAACTCCTCATGAACACGTTTGAGTCGTATGATTCTATGGAAACTTTTACTGTTAGTAAACAGTGTGATGTTTGTTGGTGGGCGGGGCTTAGCTGGAGGCAAAACAGTTCTCCACAGACATTAGCTAGAAATAGCTAACAAGTTCGGTTGCTTTGTTTTAGACGATGGAGGAAGATGATGTGAGTGGTGCGTTCAGAAACACTCATTGTGAGTGTGGGAGCGCACTCTGACACAAACTGGAGCGTTGATAAATTGGGAGCGCTGTCTGAATGTAGCGTTGGGTTATCCAGAGCAGCGCACTCTCAGAGTGGCAGAGCGCACTCTGGACACTCTGTCTGTGGAGACGGAGCAGCAGAGCGCCGAGCGGAGTGAATGTGTGATTAACTTAACCGTTGGTTCATTCATGTAGAAATATAACGCTGTGTTTCTTCCACCAACAGGGCTCTCATTTTAGTGTAGAGCGTCAGACTGAATTTACCAACGCACCATGTCAGGTCACTCACTCTCCGGGACCGCCAGTGTTACTTGAATAAGTAAACAATGACCAACGGGACCAGACTGGCCGACCCGTATGCTCTCACTCAGTGGATGGATGATGTCACAGGAAGCCAATCTTACAAAGGAGGACCACACTTGTTTGTTTTGCTATGGAAGCTAACGTTAGCTAATGTCTCTGTCCTGTCTCTCTGTCCTTCTGTCTCTCTGTCCTACTGTCTGTCCTTCTGTCCGTGTCCTACTGTCTCTCTCTGTGTCCTACTGTCTCTCTGTGTCCTACTGTCTCTGTCCTACTGTCTCTCTCTGTGTCCTACTGTCTCTCTGTGTCCTACTGTCTCTCTGTGTCCTACTGTCTCTGTCCTACTGTCTCTCCCCTACTGTCTCTGTCCTTCTCTCTCTCTCCCCTACTGTCTCTCTCTCTCTCTGTCCTTCTGTCCCTGTCCTGCTGTCTCTCTGTCCTACTGTCTCTGTCCCCTACTGTCTCTCTCTCTGTCCTACTGTCCCTGTCCTTCTGTCTGTGTCCTACTGTCTCTCTCTGTGTCCTACTGTCTCTCTCTGTGTCCTACTGTCTGTCCTACTGTCTCTCTCTCTCTCTCTCCCCTACTGTCTCTGTCTTTCTCTCTGTCCTACTCTCTCTCCCCCCTACTGTCTCTCTCTCTCTCTCTGTCATACTGTCCCTGTCCTGCTGTCTCTCTGTCCTACTGTCTCTGTCTCCTACTGTCTCTCAATTCAATTTCAATTTCAATAAGCTTTATTGGCATGACTGTAGATTAACAATATTGCCAAAGACATTAAAAATTTACAAATAAAGTACAATAATAAAACTAAATACTGTCTCTCTCTCTCTGTCCTACTGTCCCTGTCCTGCTGTCTCTGTCCTTCTGTCCGTGTCCTATTGTCTCTCTCTGTGTCCTATTGTCTCTCTCTGTGTCCTATTGTCTCTCTCTATGTCCTAATGTCTCTCTCTAAGTCCTACTGTCTCTCCCCCTGTCCTACTCTCTCTGTGTCCTACTGTCTCTCCCCCTGTCCTACTCTCTCTGTGTCCTTCTCTCTCTCTCTCTCTCTCTCTCTCTGTGTCCTTCTCTCTCTCTCTCTCTCTCTCTCTCTCTCT